GCTGGACCCGCCCCCGCCCGCCAGGCCCCGCCCCCAACCCGGCCCAGCCGGAGAGGAGGGGCGACAGCTGTCCTGGGGCCGTCCGGTCCCATGGAGCCCAGCTGGTCTGGTGCCCCTTACTGTTTCTCCTCTAGGCCATCACGACCCCTATTCAGCCCAGCGAGGCGGAGTGCTGGCCTCTGTGAATCAATCAGACCGGGAACCTTGGGGGAACTTGGGAGAAGGGGTTCCTCAAGCACGGCGTCCACCCAGGTAGAATCGATCAGTCAAGACCCGATCCAGATGAGGCTCGATGAGGACCCACGTTCTCTGTGGAGCCCTCGGATCGGGACCTCCCTCCACTGTGGGGCCTGATCAGTGGTGAATCCCATCCTCCCGTATCCCAGGGTTCCCTTCGGTCAGGACCCGGTTCTTTATGCAGCTGTCATGACCCCAGTCCTCCGTGTGGCTCCGTAAGTAATGACTTCCATCCCCCGCGGGGACCCCGTCCTCTGAAGGCACTGCTTGGTGAGGACCCCCGGTCTCCAGCAATGGAGATCCCCAGGAGGACTCTTCCCAATCAGTCAGGGCGTCCATGACCTGGAGAGCCCACTGCGTCAGGACACATTACCCTATTCAGCTCAGAGGTCAGGGGGCCCCATCTCTTCAAAAGCCCCATCCGAGACTCCTGCCAAGAAGGAAAAGACACTGCGCTAATTCTCCAGCGCGCGGGTTTTCTCGCGCATGCGCGACATGCCTCCAATGAGTGACCTAGTCTCGCCTCCAGATGACACCGCCTCTAGATGATGTCACACGCTCGCCCCGCCCTTCTCCACTACACCCTGGGCCTCCCCTAAGGGGGCGGGCCTGCAGAGGGCGGGACCCCGACTGCTTTAGCTTTCGATTGGCTCAACTCTAACTAGCACTGCTTCGTGATTGGTCGACTCATGCCCCTCCCCCTTCTCTCCGGGGCTTCCGCTTCCGATTCTGACCGACGCTAGGGCCGTAACGATGATCGGAGACATCCTGCTGTTCGGGTAATTAGGGGGACTAGAGACTGGGCGAGATGGCCCGACGGGGCGGGGGACGACCCAGGTAACTGCATTCTTCCCCCACAGGACGCTGCTTATGAACGCCGGGGCGGTGCTCAACTTTAAGCTGTAAGTAGGCCGCGTCGCACCGCAGCTCCACCCGGGACCCTTGGCCCCGCCCCCGCGAGCGTGAGCCCGCCCCACGCTGTGGGTTCCACTCGCGAGTTCTAGCTTGCCCTCTGGCCCCGCCTCCAGTCTGATCCTTGCGGGTGGGAGTCTCCGCGCTACCACGACTTAAAATCCTTACTCTCCGTTCCCTGGTCGTACCTCGAAGAGCCTCAGGCTTATTCCCCAAGAAACTCTTCCCCTTAACCTGGACCACCCTCTCCACCGGGTCAGTGGCTGTGAATGGTGGGGCAGGTATGGACCTAGAGAGGTTCCTTGAACCGCCTGAGGTCACACAGCAAGTCAGCGGTAAGGCTAGAGCTGAAGCTGAGTGTCTGGCCTTTTGAGGTCAGGGGACTGAGCGGCCCTTGTGTCCCATCGAAAGTGGACACTGACTGCTTCTCTTCGTAGGAAAAAGAAGGATACACAGGGCTTTGGGGAAGAGTCCAGGGAGCCTGGCACAGGTAAGGCCTTTCTGGACTCTGGAATTGGTCCATTTCAGAGAGAACAGTTCTTTTCTCACCAAGTTCTACCCTAGTTTTCTTTATAATTGTGTTTGTGTGTGTGAGAATGAGATGGGCCTGAGGATGTGCTGTTCCTTCTGCCCACATCCGTCACCCATTTCTTTCGCCTGCCAGACCTCCCGCATAGGTCAGCACTCATGTCACATCTTACAGTTACAATTTTCCTTTACCTATGCTGTCATCTGGCTAATGTCTTCCCTTAACACTTGACCTTAAGCTCTGGAGAAGAGGCTCTAGCTTGTTTTGGCTCAGTCCTGCTGTGTGATTGCTTGTTTAGTATTTATGCTCCCTGTCAGCTCCTTCAAGCAGGGAACCCTGTCTTTTTCCTCCCTATGTCCCCTGCGCTGGGCTCCTGCCTAGAATGAGTGATCCTCAGTCAGTATCTGTTGATGGCAGAAGAGTCTGTTTATGTGATTCTGGGCTCAGAGAAGGGCCTGGCCAAGCAATGCCTTTCATACATCCTGGAGACATACTTGTCTCTGACATTTGCAGCAAAATTGGCATTGTGTGCTGGGCCAGTTCTTACGCAGGCTTTGCTGCACATAGCTAACCCAAGGGGTGGATAATACCGGACTCATGGAAACCACATTGAGACTGTACACTGATCTCATACTAGGGTGGTACAGCAGTACGAGGTGGCTGTCATGTTGGGTTGCTGTGAAAATTTCTGAGCTCCTGCCCGGTATTCCATACTTACTGGACAGCTGTGCTCTCTAGATGACACTTTCGGTAGCACCCTTGTAGATCACCTAACCTGGACCAGTTCATTTCATTCCAGAGGCCTGGTGGGGGAAAGAGGGTCTAGGGAAGTGCTCTACTCAAAACTCCAGAGGAAGTTTCTGGAACCCAGGTCTCTGGAGTCTGAACATACCAAATTGCCTTCTCTTGAAGTGGTTTCTGTTCCTTGGTAGCAGAGAGTACTAGAGTAAGTTGTCACCAAAGCAGAACTCCTGTTTTACTTGTCCAAATTAGTATGCTTTTAGTTGCCAAAACAAAACCCAGCTCAAAGTAGTTAAAGCAAATCGAAACATCCAACGGCACAGTTGAGCCTCAAATACAGCACACCTGTATTCAAGGATCAAAGCAGCCCTCCAGCATGTGACTGTATCCAGCTATATTTTTGCCTTCTGGGTTAGTTTTACTGTCAGAGACAGCCCTAGAGCAAGGCTTAGAACATTCTTCTGTGAAGGGTCAGGTTGTAAATATTTTTGACTTTGTGGGCCGTGCTGTCTCTGGTGTAAAATTCAACTCTGCTGTTGTTTGAAAGCAGCCATGGGCAATATGTAAATGAATGGACATGACTATGTTGTAATAAAACTTGATTTATAGACATTGAAATTTGAATTTCATGTAATTTTTGCACCTTACCAAATACTCTTGATTTTTTTTTTTTAAACCATTAAGAAATATGAAAAACATTCTTAGCTCCTGGGCCATACAGAGACAGGTGGCAGGAGCTGGTTTTAGCCTCTAGGCCATAGTTTGCCAACCCCTTCCCTAGAAGACTTGGCTTGCATCTTCCCAGCCCAGCCAGCCTGACAGAAAACAGTAGTTGGGGCAAAAGTTCGAGGGCTGACTCTTCATTGGGCAGACTTGGTTCATGTGCCCCTCTCTGAGCCAGATAGAGGCTGGGGGTTTCAGAGGCTGGGGGTTTGGTGCTCTCCCAGGATTGGTCAGTGGCTGCCACAGCCTGAGTGCTGAGAGTAGGAGAACAGAAGGGACCCAAAGGAAATGCTGCACTGCCACTGGAATGGGGGGGAGGGGCAGTGGGTACGGGTGGGCAGAGGCTGCAGAAGCACCTGCAGCTCTGACAGCAGAAATGTTAGTGCTTGTAAACATGCTTTCTGACTTTCCAGGTGACAACATCCGGGAGTTCTTGCTGAGCCTCAGGTACTTCCGAATCTTCATTGCCCTGTGGAACGTCTTCATGATGTTCTGCATGATCGTGTAAGTCAGGCCCGCCCATCCCCTTCATTGTCCTTATCCTCTGTGTCATTCTTGAGAATGACCCACCTGATGGTCACTCTGTGTTTTCTTAGTCTGCACTTTGGTGTCACACTTTCTGCTGTCAAAATAAGAACTCTCCAAGCTATAGAGGAAACTGGGGTCTACAGGGGTTAAGCTACATCATAGCGTTCCAGGCCGGCGTTTTCCAAGTCCTGGCTGTGCCTGGTGTGTCACCAGGGGCTGCCAAGAGATGCCTTCCCTGGTCACCTCTCCTCAGCTCTTCTGTGCTTAGTGGATAGTTGGCATCTATCAAGGTAAAAATATCGCTTGAACAGCCATTGTGCTGCTGGGTCCTGTTTCTGCCCTGCTGGAAGCCAGCAGAAGAAAACAGACTTTATTTCTGTTTTCATGCTCTTTTTCATTTTCTTATTAGGCTAATAAAATCCAGTCAGGTTGGTTTTCCTTCCAGTGTCAGGGCTATAATTCCTATACTGCTGTTAGTGAGTTGCGAGACTCAGAGAGTAAACAGATTCACGGTTAAAACAATGGGAGATTCTGGAATTCTCAGCCATACTGGGCGCATCCCATATGCTTCCCCGAAAAAGGACGAGAAAGAAAAGTTGGCTGCCCTGAGTAGCTGAGATGCTGAATTTGGGATTGCTTGATGGTCCCTGTGCCAGACCTATGGCTGTTTGAGATGTTTCCAGTGCTCAGGAGATCAGGACAGGGGAAACTGTTTTCGAAACTGTTTTAGAGCCTGGAATGAGGACCATGGTGGATGCCCAGAGGCCCTTTTTGGAAGCTTGGGTGAGGCCTGCTTAGGTACAAAGTGGGATCTTAAAGAAAAAATCAGTTGTGAGGTGGCAAGAGGCGGAAGTCTCCCAGTTTAGGACACAGTCAGGGGGAGGCTCTGAGAAAGTACCATTTAAATAAATCAACAACAGGAGGCCCAGTTTGCAGAGTTGGGGAGAGAGCACCAGAAGCAACATGTACAAAGGTCCTGAGGCAAGGAAGAACTTGGTGGGGTATTTTTTCGTCATTCTGTTCTTTTCTGTCAATCAGCTTTATCATCCTCTCTTGCCTGACTAGCTTCCTTCATCTTCTGGCCTGTGAGCAGAATGGTAGCTTCAGGCTCCGTGACCTCCCAGCTTAGCCCAAGGCTAGCTTAGTCAATAGCCCAGTGTCCCGATTTTGTTTCCTGGGAGCAAAATCTTATTGACTTAGCTAGGTATCACCCACTTCTAGTTGGATTAGGGGTTCCTGATCCAGCCTAAACACTTAGGTCAGGGGTCAGCAAACCACAGCTCATGGGCTATGTCTCCCTGCTCTCTGTTTTTATGAATAAAGTTTTATTGTCATACAGCTGAACTCACATCTGTGACTGCTTTTGCACTACAGTGGTTAGGGCATTCTGACAGAGACAACCTGGCCCACAGAGCCCGAACTACTTACTGTGTGCCTTTTAGAAAGAGTGTGCTGACTCCTGACCTAGGCCAGCTCTTACTGCAGAAGCCATGAATGAGGGAAGATTCCAGAAACAGGTGTCAGGGAGGCAGTGAAGGTCTTTCTCGAGATATTAAAACACTGGAAATCACCTAAATGTCGAAGAACAGGGGAAGAGTCAGATAACTTAAAGGACACTTATAAGACCAACTGTCACAACGCCATCACTGATGATATGCCAGAAGTTTATATCTACAATGAGGAATGTTTTGAGAGTAAAGAAGGCTGATGTCACCTGTATGCACATTTCTAGCTTCAGTTGTGACTTGCACATGGTAAACATTGACTAAATGCCGAGCGAGTGCCCAAAGTCTGTAAAACACTGGTGAAGGAGTTGGAAGGATCTACTCCAGACTGTCCATGGAGGGGACTATAGCAGAGCTGGAGGGATGGGTTCCTATTCCCTGCACCCACTTCTGTATTGTTTGAGCTGGACTACTATGGAAATTTTAAAAAGTCATGAAAAACTTGAAATATGGGAGAAACATGCCTGAATGTTTAGGGACCAAGGGTACTGATATCTGCACCTTACTTTGAAACGTATCTAAAATAAGGTAGACAATTAAATAGGTAGATACCCAGTAAAGCAGTATTAATGGCATAATGTATGTAGGTGTTCTTTTAACTCTTCTGTATATTGAAATCTTCAAAACAATACTGGGAGGAAGATAGAAAACAAGAGTGTCAAACCACAGAGAAGGATTAATAAGTAAAAAGTGGAAGTTGGTCTTCATTATTTTGTAATATATTCACAGGGTTGTGCAACCATCACCACAATTTAATTCTAGAATATTTTAACCACCCCGAAGGGAAATCCCATACTCTTTTAGCAGTCACTCCCTCCCCACAGCCTCTGGCAACCACTGATCTACTTTCTGCCTCTATGGATTTGTCTATTCTGGACATTTCATATAAATGGAATCATACACCATGTGGCCTTTTGTGTCTCCCTCCTTTCACTCAGCGTAATGTCTTCTGGTTTTTTCCATGTTATAGCTTGAATCAGGACTTCATTTCTTTCTATAGCTGAATAATCATCCATTGTATGGATATGCCACAGTTTGTTTATCCACTCATCAGTTGATGGATATTTGAGATATTTCCATTTTTTGGTTATTATGAATAGTGCTGATACGAACATGCGTGTACAAGTTTTTATGCAGACTTAAGTTTTCATTTCTCTTTGTTATAGACCCAGGAGTGAAATTGCTGGGTCATATATGGTAACTCTATATTTATCCTTTTAAGGAAATGCCAGAATATTTTTCAAAGTAGCTGCAGCTTTACGTTCTCACCAGCAGGGTGTTATGGTTCCAATTTCCCCACATCCTTGCCAACTCTTGTTATTGTCATTCTTTTTTGATTATAGCCATCCTAGTGAATGTGAAGATTGATTTCCATTTCCCTCATGATTAATGATGTTGAACATCTTTCATGTCCTTATCGGTCATTTGGATATCTTTGGAGAAATGTCTATTCGTCCATTTTTTAATTGGATTATTACCGAGTTGTAAGAGTTCTTTTTATACTCTGGATACCAATCCCTTATCAGATACATAATTTGCAAGTATGTTTTCCCATTTTGTGGGTTGTCTTTTCACTTTCTTGATGGTGTCATTTAGAGCATAGAGTGTTTTAATTTTGATGAAGTCCAATGTATCTATTTTTTGTCACTTGTGCTTTTTTACTGTTACAGCTAAGGTATCATTACTTAACCCAAGGTCCCAAAGATGAAGCCTAAATTTTAATTTTAATAGGTCTATGATCCATTTTGAGTTAGTTTTTGTATATGGTGTGAGGTAGAAATTTAACTTCATTCTTTTGCATGTGGCGATCCAGTTGTTCCTGTACCAGCTGCTATTTTTTAAAATAATCCTTTTTATCTTGGAAAGCATTTAGGTTTATAAAATGTTGCAGAGACAATACAGAGAACTTCTCTATATATCTTTTTAACAGCTCTGTGGTTTTCCCCAGTAGGCCCGTTTCATAACTTACAGACCCATTCCCAAACTTCATGGACATTTATCCAGTTTCCAGGCCTTTCCTATTCTAGAATTTTTTTCAGTTTACTCAAAGATCTTTTTGATATGAAAGTCACCCACTGACTTGTAGTAATAGAGAATGGGTGAAAATAAAATGTTACAGATTCATATGAAGTAGATAATTTTAAAAGAGTTACAGTTTTTTAAGTGTATAGTTAGGTAGTGTTAAGTATATTCACAGTGTTGTGTGACAGAAGTTACTTAGAAAACCAGAAAATAGTATAAAATAATCTTAATAAAAACAACTGAAAATATTTTCTAAAAATGTTTTCAGAGTGACAGCTTCCCATCTTCACAGACATTTCTACCTTCTGACTTTTCCAGGTTGTTTGGCTCCTGAGCCCCAGATACCAAACCAGGAACATACCTCCCCAGGTGCTGAGTCTCACTTCCTCCATTTCTGATGACTTCAAGAATATTATTTGACCAGCAAACCGGTGACCTTTCCAGAAAGCCCAAGCTTGCGGTGGGTGGAAAAAAGTGTTCGCCAAGATGCACACGGTTTCCCGGCCACGTCACTGTTTTCTTTTCAGAGATATTTTCATGTTGGTTTCTGCATTGAAATGCTGTCTACTTAATGTGTTTCATGAGGGTTTATGTAAGGGGCTGTGATAACTACTTTCCCCATAGAAAAGAGAACACATCTCGATCGTTTCATTAGATTGGAATCCCTCTTCCACCAAGCTTTACTAGAACCATGTTTCTGAATATTTCTTGGTTTATTTTCAATAACCTTTTTTTTTTTTTTTTTTGGTTTGAATTATACAGATTTTTAGAAACCATTTATATCCAGGGATCTGAAGCAGAAAGTTGGCTTTAAGTTTGATGCAGCCTCTTTATTGGACTGTGTTTGTGAATAACGAAGTTCGTTGTTGCTGGATCTGCATCCAAGTTTCTTCCACATCCCAGTGGCTCTGCTTGGCCACTCAGTGCAGCCAAGGTCATCCCCAGGACTTAAAGGGTGACGTGTTACTGGTTCCCACAGAAGAGAAGTGCAGAACAATTGGCAGGGGCAGGCAGGGGTCTCATGAGAAATTTTGCCTTGCCTTAAAAGCCCTCTGTTAGAGTAACTTTTGAGGCCATTAGTTGTACAATTTTTAGAGTGAGAGTGATTCATGTGGTGATATTGAGACTCAGTTCTGAAAGCTTAGGTTTTGGGGTCTGCTTTACAAGTTCGTAATTTCAGGGTTGAAAAACAATGAGCCTCATTTGAGCAGTTTGCACAGAAGCTTCTTTGAAAGAAAATCCTGACTTAATTGCCAAAATGAACTGCTGGTGGTTGGCACCTGGATCCCACAGGTGTTTGATTTGTTTGTTGTGTTTTTTGAAATCCTGACTTGTAGATAAACCTGGTGGGAGGAAAAAATAAACATGCAGGCTTTTAGAATTAAAAAACATTGAAAATAAAGCTCATTTCCAAAAAGGACCCTTTGTTTATACATTTTTTAACCAAGAAGTTGACTTCCAACTTGAGTGTTTCAGATTCGCTGTGGGAAACACCTAGGATTCATATCAGAGACTCAAAAAGTCAGAAATAATGTTCCCTTTTGGATTTTGCTCAGTAAATGTTGGGCAGGGATTGGGTGAATATGATTTTGACTTGGCTGCTCCTGGAAGAATTGAAAAAGCCTGTGGTAATGGTGGGATTTCGCTAGACCAGGGTCAAGTCCACTTGTACTCCTGCTCAGCTAACGTCACTCTACTTCGCTGCTTTTATAGTGTATTCCCTTGTCAAATCTGGCCGAGCATCACTCCCTGGTTTGTAAGTAGCAGGGAACATAGCTTCTGAGTCGACCTTCGTCCAGGTCTGTGTTCTTACAGCAAGAACGGACGAGCCAAGATCTTGGCTGGTCATTCATTCTTCAAGGCGTCTGAATGGTGTGAGGAAACTTCTGCCTTATTCAGACCTGTGCTGAAGTTTCAATGAAGCAAGGCATTTGTTCCAGGAATGAATCTTTCTTGGAAAAGAGAATGGTGTCATTGAGATTTTGTTTCAATAACTGTATTTTTCTCCAGAGAACTATTATCTCATTGTTAACTTCTTATAAGCAGGGTAGCTTTTGGGGATGAGTATCAGAGGCTGCTATAAAAATTGCATCTCGTGGATCTTCAGGAAGCTTTTTAAGAACCCTCGCTGGCACCAAAGCTTATCAGAGTTTGAATTTGGGGTATATAGGGTCCCAAAGCATTTAAGTGCCCATATTCAGTATCAGTTAGACATGGTTTCAAGTCTCATCTCTGTTCCTTGCTGGGGGCATTTTGGCTGATTGCTTCCCCTCTCTAAGCCACAGGTTCCATATCTCTAAAAGGGACTTGAAACTCATGTCTGCCTGGGGTTTTAAGATTCAGTGAACTTGAATTTGGGCTTTGTGCTTGACCAAATGGTAATTGCCCAGTAATCACTCGATACCTGTGGGTATCCTCACTGCCCATTTTCTCTCTCCTTGTCTTGATTCATTCAGTCTACACCTGTACCATGAAAGGGAGATCACAACATTTTTAAAAACTGGAAACAGTTTCAGCATGGGAAACCTTTTCCCATCTTCCCGTCCCTTTTCCAGCGTTTTCCTTATGCCTGCCGGGATATGGACCTAATGCATAGTTCTGATAGTGGGTAAGGCAGTTCTGGTTCTGCTGTTTTCATTTCAGCGTACTTCCTTCATATTTTCTGGGCTGCCAGAAAGGCTTCATAGTTCTCATTTTTAATTACTGTGCAGATTCAATAAATCTCTTGTTAATCTAGGCCTTCTCACTTGGTACGTACTTTGTCCACTGTTATAAATGTCACTGCTGTCACCAGTGTTATGACCTTTTCTGGCTTCCTTCATTGGTACTTCTGGGAGCACTCGTGAAGGCTATATCATTGTGTACCACCATTATAGCTTTAGTGGCTTTCGTTCATTTTGTTTTATTTTCTTATTACCAATGCATGCTCATTGTAGAAAAATGATAAAATACAGCTTAGCTCTAAAGGAAAAAGCCGCTTGTTGTCACACTCTCCTAGAGAGCAATACCCGAGGTACACATCCTTCCAACTCTTACTCTGTGAATGGGCATTAGGTGTGGTACGTGTGTGTTTTTCTTTATACAAATGGTATCTTTGTATCTTCTAGCCTGCTTTTCTCATCTGATAACATGACCATGTATTCATATATTTTTTTCCTATTTTACTATTCTTAATAACTGCAAATAAGGCATTGTGAATGTATTAATTTAACTAGGCCCCAACTGATGGAGACTTGAGTTGTTTCCAGTTTTGGTCTATTTTAAATAACACTGCAGCGAATATCTCAGTATATCATCCCTAATGGCTTTTGGGGTTCACTTTTCAAAAGAGATCCACCTTGACAGCTTTATGCTAAAAACCCCAAAGAAAAATGCATCTTGGAAAACTTATGTCCTTGTTTTATTTATTTATTGTTCGCCCATTTATTTGTACATAGGTACGTATATTTATACATGCAAACATACATACCAGAGAACTTGGTTCTAGATCACTGTCGACTTTGACCAGGAATGGTATTAGGCTTCTTCCATTTGTTTAAGCTGTGAATAAGGACCAGGTTTACAACTCCACCCAGATAAGTGTTTCTTTGTGCAAGTGACAGCAATTGATGCCACACCAGATGGTTTTCCATGCTGGCCCAGAGAATCTTAACCACCATCTAATTAATAAGTGCCCACTACTGCTTTCCCTGGAGCATGTTACATGGAGTCCCTGCAGAGGTGAGAAGCCACACATGGAGAAGGCCTCAGTTTGCAGCACCTGTCCTGGCTGCAAACTTTGAGGTTTATATTGTACCACTCCCATTGGGGGTTCATACCAGAAACCTCTTTTTGTTTTTTCTATTCTTGCCATCTTGAGAATGGAACATGTCCCTCCTTTTGTGGGTTTTTCATTGCACGTCATTTCCAGCTGCCCTAGAGCAGAGTTGGAAACCATTGACCCTGGCCTGTGCCTGTTTTTGTAAATAAAGTTTTATTGGCACCCAGCCACACCTCTTTGAGAATGCGTTGTCTAGGGCTGCTTTGGCCGCCTTCCTGCTACAACGGAAGAGTTGGTGATAGACCATCTGGCCTGCTGAAAATATCGCCAATCTGGCCCATTTATAAGACCAATTTGCTGGCCCCTGAGCTAGAGGATGGTGGAGAATCTCAAGGTGCCCCTTTTCCCAGCCACTCAGGTGGAATCATTGTGTGCCTTGTGGTCTGGATTTTAATAAAGACATTTGCAGATATGTTTTTCAAACTTGCTGGAAATTGAGCCAGCCATTTTCAGGTGACGTGGTTAATAGACCAAAACTTGATTTTTTCTCTGGATAGTTAGGGGCGAGGTTCCTCCTGGACTCCTTGCGATCCCCTGAGCAGCAGTGCGATGTGCTAATGAGATTGGGTCTCCTCTGAAGTGTTTAGATCTGAAAAGCCAACGAGACAATCATTAGTGAAGCATTTTCCTTCCATTTCAACTGTTTCATTATCTCCTTTACCAAATTTGAGTTTATGAAATATTGACAAACCTCCTGATGTTTTCCTGTATTAATGAAAGACATATGTTGTTTGTGCATAAAGCAAAAGGCCTGCTGTTTTTTAAAAAACAGACCTTGGGGGTTTGTTTTCACCATTCCCTTGATTTTCATTATGCAAAGAAAAGCACTTGATAGGCTTCAAGCCCCTCTCTGGCACTTGAGCATTCTTGGAAGTGAGTTTGTTACTAGCAAGCATTCCTGGATGAGAAATTGGGCCAAAGGGTCTGTAGCAAGTAGGAAATTCAAAGTCCACATTTTTCAACAAGAAAATGGTAAGAATTAGTTCAACTTGTGCCTCCATGGCTTTCTTTTTTATTTGAATTAGACTAGGGGTCGGCAAATTGCTGCCCACATCTGGCTGCCGTCCACCTTGTCACTGCCCATGAAAGAGAATGGCCTTTACCTTTTTAAATGGTTGGAAAAAAAATCAAGATAATGAAAGGACATTCAAGTTTCTTTGTCCATACATAAAGTTTTATTGGAACACTGCCATGCCCAATCATTTATATATCATCAGTGGCTGCTTTCGAACTGCAGGAACAGAATTGAGTCCTTGCAACAGAAACTGTCTAGCCTACAAAACAACATGTTTACCCTTGCCAGCCCCTGGACTAGACAATTAAAAAAAAGACATGAGTGGGTCCTGTTCATCTGTGTTTAGTTAACATCATTGTCATGGCCGTTAGTGGTAAATGTGGGCCACCAGAGTATTGACAGTGCTGGGGGAGTTGAAAAAGTTATTTTAGGGGGAATAAACTTCAATGCATCCAATAAGAGTTTATTATGTGAATCGGGGAAAAGTGGAAACGAGGATTGTGGCAGAAAGGAAGATGGAGGTCTGGGCCTGACCTGGGCTCTTTTGCTTATAGAGTGCAGTGTAAAGTAGTGTGTTGGCCTTTCTGTGCCTCCATGTCCTCATCCGTGACATGTGGACAGTTAAGAAGAAAGCCTTGACATGTGACAATAACCTGCCAGACAGAGGGCAGGCACTCAATAAGTGATGTTTTCATCGGTGTCATTACTTTTATTAAAAGACATCCTTGACAAATTTTTATGAGGCTTAAATGAGATGATGTCTCAGTTCTGGCTGCTATAACAAAATGTCACAGATTGGGTGGCTTAAATAACGGGCATTTATTTTCTCACAATTCCGGAGGTTGAAGTCCAAGATTAAGGTACTGGCAGGGTTGAGATGAGGGCTTTCTCCTTGGCTTGTAGACAGCCACCTTCTTACTGTGTCCTCATGTGGCCCTTTCTCTGTGTACATTGCTGGTGTCTCTCATGAGGATACCAGCCATATTGGATGAGGGGCCCACCCCATTTAACCTTAGTTACCTCTTTAAAGACCTTGTCTCCAAATATAGTCAAATTTTGAGAGGACACAGTTCAGTCCATAACAGATGGTCAAGGGTCTGGCCTATAGTAGTTACTCGGCAGCTGTTAGTTCATCTCCTTGGCTAATAGAATGCTTTGAGACATTAGAAACGTTTGAAAACTCCATGTAGTCTAGGAAAGCTGACCCTGAGAACTGCTATGAAGGGATTTTGCCTCCTGAAGTTCCATAGTAAAGTATTTGAAAGTGAATGCTCGCTTCCACCCCTGCATCTCAGACTTTTATAGCCCCATGAATCCCCTGAGAGCCTTGACGAAGTGTGGATTTGACCTAGCAGTTTGGGGGTGCAGGCTGCAATTCTGAATTTTTAACCAGCTCCCAGGGATTGTCCATGCTGCTGGTCCTGGGGTCATACATTGAGTCATGAGTCACAATGGAATCACACTTTGAAGCACGCAGGGATTGTCCATGCTGCTGGTCCTGGGGTCATACTTTGAGTCATGAATCACACTTTGAAGCACAATGGCCTATGCTTTTCGTTAAATAGCCACTGGCTACATGTGGCTA